TGTCTTGTTTAAGCAACAGCCACGACCATCAACTGAATTAACACAAGTGATGCTACAAGGCTGGAGGCGGGAAGTGAGGGTTGACCTGATCACTCATGTTGACCCGGCGCTGGTCACCAGGTGAGGTCACAAGGGCCTTCCCTGCCCCCTACGGCTCATCTACCTCCCCCCCACCTTAACTCCTCCCATCAACCTAAAGCTGACCCCCCCCACGTTAACCCTCTCCCACCACCGAGCTAACCTGGCCACCCCCACGTTAACCTCACCCACCATCCAAAAGCTAACTCTCCCAACGTTAACTGCTCCCACCAACCTAAAGTTTATCCACTCCCACGTTAACCCCTCTCGCCATTTTAAAGCTGATCCACCTCCACCGTAAACCCCTCCCACCAACCTAAACCTGACTCCCCCCCCCCCCCCCCACCACATAATCCCCTCCCACGCCAATTACCTGGCTGAACTAGGCACGTACACCGTTACATTGGCTAAATAAGACAAACAATATGAGGACATGCGAAAACTAGATTACAAATATGTAATTACCTCAACGAACCAGGAACAGCAGTACGTCGTCGCACGATGCTCAAGGCTGACGCCTGCGGCTCCTCCTTACTGATGGAGCCCGGTGTCACCAGCCCTGACACAAACACTCACCAAACTAAATATATTTCTGTAACTTTCACTTCGAAATAGTTATCAAATCACAGATACACCATTTTGAACATTTTTGAATTTCTGGTGTATTGTGTATATTCGGATAAATCAAATTCGAATGGAGTTAAACAATGTTATCTGAATTACGTGTTTGAGGTGCGAGGCTACGCAAGCGTTCACCGTCACTGGTAATGAAGGACTGACCTCTCACCCAGATGCTCTTGTTGACCCCCTAGCGGCCGCCAGATTACTCTACATCCCATAACTGATGAGGGGAAGATTATTGATGATTGATGAAGATTATGCCATCCAAAAGGTTGCACGGGTATGAATAGCCCGTAAGTGATGGACATTTTGAGCCATTACCAGTATCAAGAACTGATACAGGAGATCTGTGGAGGTGTGACTGCACCCTGCGTGACGGGAGATGTCTCCCGACGAAGATATTGCCCGAAACGCATTGCGTAATAGTGGCTTTAGGCATTGTATGTACTAGCTCTATCTATATATCAATCCATTAATGTAACATCACTTGTATGTATATACCTTACCTGAATAAACATCTGAATCTGAATCTGAATCTGAATCTGATTATTGTCCTCTCGTACTTATTAAAGGGTCCCGGTAGTACAGTCGGGTTCGTTCTCGACGCACAATCGAGAATTCCGGATTGAAATGGTTGGGCACATTTCCTTTCACATAATGGGCGGGGTCAGTAATTCGGCCTGGGGGGGGGGGGGCTCGATAAAAGTCAAAACGTGTATGAATACACTCTGGCTTCCTGTCCCCCGGACACACAATGAATGAATTATTATATCTTCTGTAGATTATTGTTCACCCTATACCATTGCAACCCGTTCTCGCAAATTCGTAAAGTCAATATTGACTTATTAACTACGTGCATAGGTGATATACTAAACATAATAGATACCCTTAAAAAGATTCATAGAAAACACCGACCTTACCTAACCTAGTTAGTATCTTAAGATAAGCATCTTATTGCTTCGTAATTACAATTATTACTTAACCTATACCTATTATAGGTTAGGTAATAATTGTAATTACGAAGCAATAAGATGCTTATCTTAACATACTAAGTAGGTTAGATAAGGTTTTCTATGAAGCTTTTCAAGGGAAACTATTGTTAAGTATGTCACCTATGCACATATTTAATAAGTCAATATTAACTTATTAAATTTTTGAGTGGTAGATTTTTGTGCACCCCATACACATCCTGTGAGTGGTAGATTATTGTGCACCCCATACACATCCTGTGAGTGGTAGATTATTGTGCACCCCTTACACATCCTGTGAGTGGTAGATTATTGTGCACACCATACACATCCTGTGAGTGGTAGATTATTGTGCACACCATACACATCCTGTGAGTGGTAGATTATTGTGCACACCATACACATCCTGTGAGTGGTAGATTATTGTGCACACCATACACATCCTGTGAGTGGTAGATTATTGTGCACACCATACACATCCTGTGAGTGGTAGATTATTGTGCACACCATACACATCCTGTGAGTGGTAGATTATTGTGCACCCCATACACATCCTGTGAGTGGTAGATTATTGTGCACACCATACACATCCTGTGAGTGGTAGATTATTGTGCACCCCATACACATCCTGTGAGTGGTAGATTATTGTGCACCCCATACTTATCCTGTGAGTGGTAGATTATTGTGCACCCCTTACACATCCTGTGGGTGGTAGATTATTGTGCACCCCATACTCATCCTGTGAGTGGTAGATTATTGTGCACCCCATACACATCCTGTGAGTGGTAGATTATTGTGCACCCCATACACTTCCTGTGAGTGGTAGATTATTGTGCACCCCATACACATCCTGTGAGTGGTAGATTATTGTGCACCCCATACTTATCCTGTGAGTGGTAGATTATTGTGCACCCCATACTTATCCTGTGAGTGGTAGATTATTGTGCACCCCTTACACATCCTGTGGGTGGTAGATTATTGTGCACCCCATACTCATCCTGTGAGTGGTAGATTATTGTGCACCCCATACACATCCTGTGAGTGGTAGATTATTGTGCACCCCATACACATCCTGTGAGTGGTAGATTATTGTGCACCCCATACTTATCCTGTGAGTGGTAGATTATTGTGCACCCCATACTTATCCTGTGAGTGGTAGATTATTGTGCACCCCATACACATCCTGTGAGTGGTAGATTATTGTGCACCCCATACACATCCTGTGAGTGGTAGATTATTGTGCACCCCTTACACATCCTGTGAGTGGTAGATTATTGTGCACCCCTTACACATCCTGTGAGTGGTAGATTATTGTGCACCCCTTACACATCCTGTGAGTAGTAGCGCAAAATTATTACAGAGGACACAGTCTTAACCAGACCCCAGATATAGATGTAAGGCTCTAGTGTGTGTCCCTGCCTGGGTCCACGCACTTTGGCTGCCCTGACAGACACTGACATACCAGAATGCGTCCCAAGTAAATGAAACTTATTCACTGGACAGGTTGAGGACATGTTGAGGGCCATAACATGGCATGTCTGCAAACCAGACATGATATGGCTGCTCTCATCGAAACGCTTAAAATAGTGAACAGTTTGGAGGATGGTGATCCGGACCATTTCTTCAAAAAGGTCAGATGTATCACAAACAAGGAGTAAAGGCCTCAAGCTCAACAAGCCACAATGTAGGACTGAAAACAGGAGATGCTTTTTCACCCACAGGGTTATAAACCATGGAACTGCTTACCCGCCGAAGCCGGAAATGCCAAAACTGCTGATCTTTAAAATTCAGCTTGAAAAAATAATCATGACTAATGGGTGGGACCTTTGACAAGCCGACAGCTTCCTGTCCTCATCGTGGCCAAGAGAGTGTTAGTAGCCCTCAGGTAAATTCAAGAAACAAGAACATTATACAAATACTGTACCTAAGTTAACCCTCAATCGCAAATATGTTCTGTAGTTTTCTTTGACAGGCATGACGTCATAAACTTGAGAACCAGCGGCCGGCTGTCGACGTCACTCGCTGGCAAACGCATCTAATATACATATATATTACACATAAACGCATCTAATATATATATATATATATATATATATATATATATATATATATACATATGTCGTACCTAGTAGCCAGAACTCACTTCTCAGCCTACTATGCAAGGCCCGATTTGCCTAATAAGCCAAGTTTTCAAGAAATAATTGTTTTTCGACTACCTAACCTACCTAACCTAACCTAACCTAACTTTTTCGGCTACCTAACCGAACCTAGCCTATAGAGATAGGTTAGGTTAGGTTAGGTAGGGTTGGTTAGGTTCGGTCAAATATCTACGTTAATTTTAATTCCAATAACAAAAAATTGACCTCATACATAATGAAATGGGTAGCTTTATCATTTCATAAGAAAAAAATTAGAGAAAATCTATTAATTCAGGAAAACTTGGCTTATTAAGCAAATCGGGCCTTGCATAGTGGGCTGAGAAGTGCGTTCTAGCTACTAGGTACGACATATATATATATATATAAATATATATAAAGATATATATATATATATATATTATATCTAATATATATATATATATATTATATATCTAATCGAAAACAGGAAGCTGGCGACTTGTTAAAGGTCCTCCCATTTGTCCTGATGATTTTTTCAAGTTGGATTTTAAAGGTCAGCAGAGTTTTGTCATATACGACTACGGCGGGAAGGCACTTCCATGGGTTTGTAACTCTGTGGATGAAAAAGTATCTACTGTTTTCAATCATACACTGTGGCTTGTTGAGCTTGAAACCGGTAATCCTTGTTAGTGTTACATCTAAAAGTTGATTTACTGGGCGTCAATCCTTAACTCTGTTTACCCAACAGTAAAATGGGTACCCTGGTATGATAGTTGACTTAATTCTGGAATTATTTTTGTTGCCCGGTGTTTAACTTTCTCCAATGAAGCTATGTCTTTCTAAAGATGAGGGCTCCATGCCTGGATGCAGTGCGCCTCCACCTGGATGCATAAATCTCCAAGAGCACTAAAGATTTATACAATTGAATGACTTCACCTTCTTTTCCTTAAAATCAAAGGTATATCATTCATTTACCGACCTCAGCGGTCCTGAGGATAACGAATGATGATTGATATCAATTCATGAATGATGACAATGCATGCGGTTAATGAAACCTAACCTAACCAAACCGTAACCTAAGTTAACCTTAACCTAACCTAATTATGTTTTAATGCTGGAAATACAAATCGTTATACATTGGAAACAAAAATGAAACGTCAATCTTTTATGAATGAGCATCATAGAGTTAATGAAAGTTAAAGAATAAAAAGTTGAATTATAGTGGCTTGTGATTTATAGCCAAGTTTATTTATATTATATACAAAAGAACAATATACATTATGCTTTATATGAAAATCTGCTGAGTTTTATCCAAAAGAACCACGTCTTGGAGATAAATCATATATAATCCATTAAAAAATCCGTCGTGAAATACTGAGAATTTTCGAGATATGAGGCTATTTAATAATTTTCCTTAATCGAATAATAAACATATACTCTATACAATATATTGAATAATAGATTAGGCGTGTATTAATCTTAAAATCCACACCTTAAATTGTTTGTGCAACCCAAATCTTTCCATAAATAGACTATAGTTTGAGTTTAATATTCTGACGCTGTTTGAAATAATTACCAAAAGAAGTAATTAATTAATTATCAAAACTTCCAGTCACTAAGTCTGGAAGACTATTCAGTATTTGATTTTTAAATACTATTGGAATACTTTGTAATATTTTGTTGCTTTTGAGTTTGCTACTCACTCGTATTGTTGTAGTCCTGCTCAGTGAAAAGTTGTACAGTATATATAAATCTTCAAACTGAATTTGTACCTTAACGATTATTAGTGTACAATACAAAATTATTGTTAACAATGAAAACATCTTAAAAATCAACGGCATATATACTAAAAAAAATTAAGCCTCAATACCTGTAAAACATGTGCACTCCCTCGCAAACAACAATTAAGCTTTCATTTTTTGTCACTGGTGTTCCTCTCTAAGGCATTTTGATATCCTTCGACATATGGTACTCAAAACTAGATGTTGTGGTACAATAATCATATGGGCAGGACAATATGAGGCTACCACCAGTTAACCTTCCGAGCCCATACAACCTCCCACTGAAGGTTAGGGGCTACTTGTTGCCCTTCAGGGCCTACACCACGTCCAACTGGAGGACTTCAGATGACCTGGGCCCACACCACCTCCCTGCTGGAGGTCGGGGGCTACCACTTTACCTCCCGGGTCCACACCACCTCTCGCCACCATCCTGCATTACGGGACTGGACCAGTCTGAAGTCCTGACACTTGAGCAGCATGAAGTAGGGCCAGAACACCTGTCGTGTGCTTGTCTGGCTCAGGTCACCTGTTTATTATTAAAGCAATTGAATATTATAAAAAACTTAGAAACTAATCAAACTAAATATTTATAACAAATTAGGCACACAAGGGCACAAACTAGAGTAAGAGACAGTGTGATCAGGTCGAGGTTATGGGGAGAATTCTCACAAAAAATGTTAAGGCGTGTGAAGAATTCAAGAGATTTCAAGATTGTGTGATGAAAGGTAGTCACTGTAGAGGAGGTGAAGTTAATATGACCAGACTTACTATCACCATGGCTGAAGGAGGCTGCACAGGTACTGTCATCCGCAAACTAAAATTTTAAATTAAACGCTTCAGACAGATCTCGCAGAATTATGGAAAAAGGCATTCAGTCCTAATACTCCAAAAGAGAGGACATATAGGCGACACTAAATTATACACCAGACTCACTGACACTATGCGCGTTAGTGGCTTTGCAAGAATGTACCACTGTGCCAGAATGTACCAAGGGCACATACATTTGTGCCCTTGTCACCAATGTATGTACTTTTGCAACCAAATGTCCCCTTATAGTATATAAATAAATAAATAAATAAATAAATAAATAAATAAATAAATAAATAAATAAATAAATAAATAAATAAATAAATAAATAACTGTCAAGTATTTAGTGTATTGTAATGGAGAAAGTATTCAAGATGAGAATAATGGGGCACTTGGAGGGGGATGAACGTTGCAGTGAATGGATTTAGAGGTGAAAACTCATTTCTGAAAAACCTGATCGAATTCTATGACAAGGTTACCAAAATACAATAGGAACAAGAAGGCTGGGTAGGTTGTATCTTCGTAGATAAAAACAACTGGTAGGGGTTTCTCATAAAATGCTGGTGTACAAGATGGATAAAGAAGCTGGCAAGACTGGGTAAGCGAGTAGCGAAGGACAAGACAGACAGACAGGTGGTGTCGTGGTAAAAATTGAGAATACAATAGTTATGGTACTTTCTGATTATATTTTTTTGTGTGTGAATAGGCAGGCAGGAGGGTTACTCGGTACACAGAATAATGAAGTTCTTGCGAGGCAAGATCAAGTATAACATTTGGGGTTTACGTCTCATGCTCGGTGATGATATGGAAAATGGGTTTACCGAGAATTATATAAACTATATATGAATGTAGAATTTTCCCTTGTAAATTGATGTAAATATGATCTGTATCTTGTATATTATTTAATAAAGAAAACAAAATGACTTACATGAGGGAATGAGCTCGTACATGTTAGTACGTCGATGCTGTCAATGTTTGCTAACAACACAAAGCTAATGAGGAATGTAAAAACAGGAAGAATACAAAAAGTTACAGGAAGAACTTGACAAACTCCAGGAGTGGGCAGACAAATGGCTGATAGAGTTCAATGTTAACAAGTGTAAGGTAAACTAAATCATAAGGAAAAGACAACCTCATGAATAAGAAAGATAATTAAATGATTTGGGAGTCGACATAACTTCAACACTAACACCAGAAGCACAAATAAACAAGATAACATCGGCAGCATATGGGATGCTGGAAACATTAGAAGGATTCCCGTCCTCTTACAAATTACGTCGCTCTTCGCTCGTATGCGCTACGGCCAAAAATGGGCGTAATTTGAAAATTAAAAATAATTGAAAATAAATTTGATTTTGTTTTCCAAAATAGCAAGTTAAGAGTCTTCTGGTAGGTTAGGATGTCAAGTAGTTCTCCTGAAGTTTCAAAACGTCATGAAAACCGTTAATTGAAAATTTCCTCTCCTAACCTAACAGCCTAAGCCAAAGGACCCAAAACAGAAAACGGGACAGTACGTCACTTTCGCGATCCGATTTAATTTTGAATTACGTCCATTTTTAGCTACGAGCGAAAAACGTCGTAATTTGTAAGAGGACGGATATCTTTCAAGGCAATCTATGCAGCCTAAATTAGATCATTTCTTCAATATGCAGCACCGTCTTGGAGTACTCACCTTATCAAGTACAAAACTAAAACACAAAATATAAACGTTTGCAAGAGGATTAGTGCCAGGACGAACAGGTAAGAGGAAATAAAAAAGAAAAGATTATTATTGTGGCAATGAGAATTTCCGTTACAGCAGAGACTATCAGTCGTTGATGTATGTTCATTCTGGGTGGAACAATTCTTGTAAAGCCAAATTAAAACTCTAAACATTAATCTAAAAGAAAAACATACAATGTTTGAATGTTGCTCTTCGCTGTGGACGTCTCTTCAGCGTAAACTCAGGAGAGATGAATTGAGCCTAGCATGGGGGACTGAGGTACCATGCTTGACTGATATATAGTTCAGACGAAATGAGTCTTTGATCCTAGTGAGAAGTTATATGTTTGTTGAAATTGCCTCAGAGGTCCACAGACTGAAGCCCCTTATAAGAGACGAAGACAGTCATCATTGCAGTAGGCGAGTGTTTACCTATATATGTATCAGTAGCCTCAACTTTCCAAGCAAGTCAGGCCCCAACTAGGAGTTACCCGACTCGTGTGCGCCACCAGCATGCAATCCTAAATGAAATATAATTGTGGTGCAGCGTGGAGGATTTTGTTTATTTTATATATTAACTACAAGGTTGATAAAAGTGAAGGATTTACTTTTTGTTGGAGAGTTCTTTACACTAGGGCCGTACTAGTGTAAAGAACTAGGGTGACTTTAGAGATGTGAGAAACCCGAGACATTTCTATCACCTAAGCTTGGGAATTTTCACCTTTACCTTGGGAATTCATAGCAAGTACCAAAAGCCTTGTGATGCCTACTGGAAGCTTGGAAATGATTTACAGCTATTAGAAGTCTTGCTGTACCATATATCAGTTTGAAAAATAAGCGACCACTACACTTTTCTGCTAATGTTCATAGTCCGTATACTCATAACATCTCTCGTCACCAGAAAGGTACAGAGCAGCTTCTTTCAGTCTTTTATAATAATGGCATCACTCTCGCGTCTGACTGGCCAGTGGTCAAGTATTCTTTTATCTTACGTCAGCAAGCAACCCGTCCTCAGTGTTTAAACTCCTATTTGAGGTGTACCATGATGGTTCTCTGTGCCAAGGGGATACGCTATGGAGTGGATGTTTATTGTCACATCGGAAAAGCATCTTCAATATTGCACATGCACATCAGCCCAGGAGCTACAGTTTAAAATATTACATGGAACACCGTCTCATAGGTGTATTTGTTGTTGAAGAGTAGGGCAGTGGAGTTAGTATTCCATCCTCCAGCCAGCCACTGCGGTGTGCAAATACTGTAAGTTTGTCAGAATGATTATTTTTAGTTATTATGGGATGAACCATGGTATTCCATAGATCTGTGAATACGCCAAGTGTCTATCACTGTTATCTTGTTGCCCAGTTAAAACAATTTCAGTGTATTGTGATTTATGACGTCACACTAACATGAGGCTTGCATTAAATAAATTTAATTTTTTCTGTGATATTTAGGAGCTGATAATATTTGACTCTGTGATCTAAATATTTAGTCAAATTATGTTGACGAACGTCCAGCTGCAATGTCCTATTTGCATATGAGTAATTGGTCAATCAGGTGTGGGTTCCGAGGGTCATTTGGGATATATATCTAGTTCTCCAGGTGATTGTAACTCACGAGTGCACTATGAGAACTTGAAACGTGTCATGCCAATGTTTTCTGAACCGAAAGTATGTAGACTAATGTGTTTATCTTAAAAAAAGGTTAGTGGAGCAACCTGTGTTCAAGGAGGCGATCCGCTTAAGGGAATGGATTGGGAACGACTCCATAATTTGTGCTATTATCTATTCTCTATCCATAGTTAGGTTTGGTAAGGTTATGATAAGTTAGGTTTCATTACGTTTAGCAACGTTAATACGGTATATTATTGACGATAATATGAAATGTGGAGTTCAAACATTGGATCCATCATTGAAATTTACTTCAAATTTCCAATTTTTGTTTGTGCAATAAATCTAACCTTTGAAGGGACCATCATGTACTTCCATAGCGATCTGCTTGATGTTCCTGAGGACGTGTGGAGAGTTAAGGAGCATATCCTGCAGGAAGTCCACCTCCGACAGCTCCACGTCCAGCTTCACGTAGTCGATCACCTGACCCGCGAGTCCCAGCTGGTTCACCAAGTTCTCGAAGCGATCCACCTGAGGAAAAAGAGATGGCGGTGTAATCCTTTAATGCAAGTCCATTACAAAGGCTGTGCAAGAATATGTCACCTGCACCCAGTAGGCAAAACATGCTCGAGTAACGTTGAATGAACGTCATTTGTCCAATACGTGGCCACCATGCTACCTCCTCACAATGTCACCAGCTCCCATCTCGGGCGCCTGGTGGCGGGAGGAGGATGGCAGGGGTCCCAGCGCCACAGCCAGGCAGCCATAAGCAACACACTTTACTAACACACACACACGTGGTTCTTTCAGTATCTTCCCACACCCAAAGTAAGACAACTAGCATTTATTTTTATTACCTTTTCTATAATCAACATATTACAGTGTATGACTTCATAAAAATAAAAAGATTTTTTATCTTTCTGCCAAATTTTACAACTTTGTAAGAAAATCCTTAAATACCTATGAAAAGTTAAGAACTCATCCTCAAATAAATCTTTGTTTACAAAAATATATTATATTTATGCTAACCTCACTCAAAATTATGTTATTTTTGTAATAAAGTTTTCCTTTAGAGTAAATAAGTAGATTTAAATATTAATATTGTATTTGAAAAGTAAAAATGCATCTTTAGTGCACATTTTCGACTTCTTAATAAGGCAACTCACCCTTCTCATGGCCCAGCTGTTATCCATACCAATCTTCTTTGTGCCCTTGTAGTTAGCGATGCCCACGGCCTGGAAGCGAACGTTGGCGGACCGTTGGTGATCCTCCTTACCCATGGTGGGGTCGAATGCGTACACCTGTCAAAGGGAAAATAGTGGGTTAATCTATCGACCCAAATATGGTAGATAAGCATGTCAACTCAAAAATGGATTAGGTAAAAATTATATAGCTAGCAGTCAAATATAACTCAACTGAATTAGACACACACGCCAACTAATTCTCCTCATCACGTAGGATGAAGCAGTCCATCACCATAATGACCGTAAAAGTGATAGAAATATATCTGGCAATACGGTGTTGATGTCAGTTAAAAACATAAGGAGTGTAAATTATGTAGTATGCCGCACGCCCACACCTTATAGCATTATGTATTAGTGTCAACTTATTGATAACTATAGATATAAGGAAATAAGTAGTGTACCACATCAAATTGGTTGAAGAGTAATAATGGTATGATAGACAAAATACTTAGGAGATATGAGCATTTTGCCCCATGAGTGTAACACTTATATGTTGTGCTTACTATATTAACCTGCAATGTTAAATGTGATTCTTGTACTGTGATTTGTGGATTTGTATTCACTGGATTTATGAGCCCCTTGAGTGACTTGCAGTAGAGGAGGGTAGAAATAGCCGAAGCTACTCTATCCCTTTGAGATGTAGTTTAATGTCTCAATAAACGTACTTGAACTTGAATGACCGTAAACTCTTGGTGACCCCATCAATGAACTCACACATATAAATAATTCTATGACGGGAAGCCTGTCAACCCAGGCATTAGGTGAGAGGAAACGTGGCCAACAATCCTGGCCTAGAGCTGGAGTCCGTGAGTTGGCCAGAGTTATTACGACAGGGACACAGCACGTGGGTGTAAAGTGAAGTAATGCGAGCAAGCGATAACGACACTTGAGGAACTCTTAAGAATAATGCCAAAGGTGAAAATTGCTCAGTCTAGAGTAAATTAAGTCTTTGTTTGCTGTAGGAGAGAAGGAAAGGACGTCAACAGTAATATTGGAGAAAAGAATGTCAAGGTCAATGTATTTTCGTCGAATATAAACAGTTTACGTAATAAATGAACGCATGTAAATTGTCTTGAAACATGCACTGCATCAGTACACCGAAGCTTTACTCCTGCTACTCTGGAAATGTCCATATCAGTCATTGTCTCTCACCTTGCAGCCATATTTGGCAAAATCGTCCTCAAAGGACCACTCATTGTTGACACCGAAGGAGAAGACGGTACAGTTGCCGGGCTTAATGTTGAACCTCTTATCCAGACACACATACTTGGCTCCGTCGACGGGAGCCGGTGGCTTGCCCCCAAACTGTGCCTGTGAATATGACAGGAAATCAATATGTATGGGCGTGGACGAAAGGGTTGTACCGGCTTGCTACGATTTGTCTTAAAATAATGTACGATGTTGTGTTTAATCCGGCAGACACCACGACTGCTTCTGGTGCTTCAGGTTTACGTTACAAACTGCGAGTAGTACACAACTGAAACTGTTTCTGGAGACGTTGCCCAATGTAAGTTCCTGTTCTGCCTTGAAGGAGTAAAATACAACAAATGTTAGTACAATACGGTCTTAGAATAGTGATTGATATAACAATATAAACAAAATCATTTGAATGACCCCAAATACACCAGTTCAGGAGTTGTACTCTACATGCCACACACACACACACACACATGGCCACTACATTTGCAACAAGGCATGAAACAGGCGTAGGAAACTTACCATCATTGTACAGTTAGTCTGGGTGTGGTGGAGATAGGCTCTATACTGTTCGATGGTCTCCAGCCCCGCCACGGGACACCGCTTACACTTCTCATTCTCACCCACCTTCCACCCTGTCGAAATTTAACCTTATCATTAAAATCGTAAAATTTTCATCCATCTAGCTACATAATCTTCCCAGCTTGGCGCCCTCTTTTGGTAATTACTTCAATTTACCCACGTAAACTTCCGCCAAAGTATTCAACAACAGCATTTAATGCTTTATCAACAGCATTAAAATTTGATAAAGATAAAAAATTCTTACCTACCAGTAAGTAATTCTGTGGGCCTACCTTGTGTGGGGTGGATGTGGACATACCTTGTGTGGGGTGGATGTGGACCTACCTTGTGTGGGTGGATGTGGGCCTACCTTGTGTGGGGTGGATGTGGGCCTACCTTGTGTGGGGTGGATGTGGGCCTACCTTGTGTGGGGTGGATGTGGACCTACCTTGTGTGGGGTGGATGTGGGCCTACCTTGTGTGGGGTGGATGTGGACCTACCTTGTGTGGGGTGGATGTGGACCTACCTTGTGTGGGGTGGATGTGGGCCTACCTTGTGTGGGGTGGATGTGGGCCTACCTTGTGTGGGTGGATGTGGGCCTACCTTGTGTGGGGTGGATGTGGGCCTACCTTGTGTGGGTGGATGTGGGCCTACCTTGTGTGGGGTGGATGTGGGCCTACCTTGTGTGGGGTGGATGTGGACCTACCTTGTGTGGGTGGATGTGGACCTACCTTGTGTGGGTGGATGTGGGCCTACCTTGTGTGGGTGGATGTGGACCTACCTTGTGTGAGACGCTTCTGTTCCTGGCTGGCGGTGAACTCATCCTTCCTGAAAGATAAGGACAGAGGAATCACTGCAGATGGTCTCGGGGTGTATCATGCCTACTAATTGTCTTAGGTGATAACAACCTCTCATCTAACAAATTACGTCTGAATTTGGCCGTTTGCCCGTATGGCCGAAAAATGGACGTAATTTGAAAATGAAAAAAATGAAAATAAATTTGGGATTTTTTTTCCAAGACAGTAAGTTAAGGTTCTTCTGGTAGGTTAGGAGGGCAGGAAATTCTCCTAAAGTTTCAAAACGTCATGAAAAACGTTAATTGAAAGTTTCTTCTAACCTTTCCGTGTAAGCCGGAGGACTCGAACAGAACACGGGACGGTACGTCACTTTCGTGAGCCGATTTCATTTCAAATTACATCCATTTTTGGCCATAGCGCGCATACGAACGAAAAGCGACGTTGTTTTTAAGAGAATGGGTTGCGCACACAGCCCCACGGACCTGCACCCCCCCTTCCTTCCTCATGTCTCAGACCACCTCCTGGTCCTGCCCTCCCTCATGTCTCAGACCTCTTGGTCCTGCCCTCCCTCATGTCTCAGACCTCTTGGTCCTGCCCTCCCTCATGTCTCAGACCTCCTCCAGGTCCTGCCCTCACTCATGTCTCAGACCTCCACCAGGTCCTGCCCTCCCTCATGTCTCAAGTAGTGGAGAGTATGCCAGAACGCTGCAATTTTGCTGTTTTCACCTGCAGCGTTCTGGCATACACGTTTTTCGCATTACACACACAAGACTCACCGCTGTAAGAGCAGCACCAGCACACAGGCAGCGGGCAGTAGAATGATAAAGAAACGTAGATGACGTAGTGTGACCTGAGGCATGATGGATCTGTAAACATCACAACACCATAATAATCAAACCACCTTGTAATATACATATACTTATATATACATACATGAGAATGAAGTGCAATAGCGCACTAATCAATGAAAATAATAACCCACTAATTTGAAAACAAGAGGAAATGTAGACTATATATCTTGATATCAAGTCGGGATCCTCCGCCCGATCCCGACTTGATATCAAGATATATCCCGGATCCCGGCTTGGGAGATTACATTAACCTCCCAGGTTAATGATAACGCAGGTGTCCTAAGGCCAACTCAGCGTGGACAGAAACCTCGCGTAGAGCAAAAGGGCAAATGCTGGCTTGATCTTGATTTTCAGTACGAATACGGACTGCAAAAGCAAGGCCTATCGATCCTTTTGACTTTAGGAGTTTTAAGCAAGAGGTGTCAGACACTACTGGTCTGGGCCACAATGCTATCATGAATATTAACGCGAACACCATTAGTTCTTTAATGGTCAGTTGTTGCTAGTAAGCAGAACGCCTCAATGAGACTGTGAGGGTTGTTCTTGGCCCGTTCATGAAGGTGTCCTGATACACTCCCGTATACTGAACTATATGTTTAACAGATCTCTCACCCTGTCCATGGAGGACAGAAGAAAATGTATATATGCTGCTTAGCATTGTAAATGTGTGGTCACATGTGTGGTAGAAAAAAAATACTGCCCTAGAGGTAGAATGGGAGTTTATTATGCAACACTGATCAGTGATTAATTCACATTTATTTATTTATTCATTTATTTACATACAAAAAAGGTACATTGGGTTTGTGAGAATACATAGCAGAGTATGTATTTACTTTTGTAAATACATTACATATACTATACATTACATATACTTACATTTACATACGTAAATATGTTACTTATGTATTTAATTGTGTATTGATATAAATGCGAATGTCATATCGTGTATTCATGTATATGGTTACTTTTCAGAAAAAATTGTACCACAAGAATCTATTACACGTTCATGGCATGATCGTTAGTCGCTTATTATCCGGAGACTGACCCCCAAGGCTGCTTCCCGCGCTGGTGTTCACAGGCCAGCCCGTCCTCCTAAGCTGCCTCCCGTGCTAGTGTTTACAGGTCAGCCCGTCCTCCTAAGCTGCCTCCCGTGCTAGTGTTTACAGGTCAGCCCGTCCTCCTAAGCTGCCTCCCGTGCTGGTGTTCACAGGTCAGCCCGTCCTCCTAAGCTGCCTCCCGTGCTAGTGTTCACAGGTCAGCCCGTCCTCCTAACCTGCCTCCCGTGCTAGAGTTTACAGGCCAGCCCGTCCTCCTAGGCTGCCTCCCGTGCTAGTGTTCACAGGCCAGCCCGTCCTCCTAAGCTGCCTCCCGTGCTAGTGTTCACAGGCCAGCCCGTCCTCCTAAGCTGCCTCCCGTGCTAGTGTTCACAGGCCAGCCCGTCCTCCTAAGCTGCCTCCCGTGCTAGTGTTCACAGGCCAGCCCGTCCTCCTAAGCTGCCTCCCGCGCTGGTGTTCACAGGCCAGCCCGTCCTCCAAGGCTGCCTCCCGTGCTGGTGTTCACAGGTCAGCCCGTCCTCCTAAGCTGCCCCAATGTCAAGAAAACGGTCAGTTTGAAGAGTCCTCTCCTAACCTACCAGAGGACCCAAAGCAGGAAACGGGACTGTACGTCACTTTCACCAGCCGCTTCCATTTTCTAGTACGACAATGTTAGGCCTTATGTAACGCATACGAGCGAAAAGTAACGTTGTTTGTAGGAGGAGAGGTTGGTCTGGACAGCACAGGTTAATGTTTCGTTACTCTCCACTTGTGTTACTCTCCACTTGTGTTACTCTCCACTTGTGTTACTCTCCACTTGTGTTACTCTCCACTTGTGTTACTCTCCACTTGTGTTACTCTCCACTTGTGTTACCCTCCACTTGTGTTACCCTCCACTTGTGTTACCCTCCACTTGTGTTACTCTCCACTTGTGTTACTCTCCACTTGTGTTACTCTCCACTTGTGTTACTCTCCACTTGTGTTACTCTCCACTTGTGTTACCCTCCACTTGTGTTACCCTCCACTTGTGTTACTCTCCACTTGTGTTGCTCTCCACTTGTGTTACTCTCCACTTGTGTTACCCTCCACTTGTGTTACCCTCCACTTGTGTTACTCTCCACTTGTGTTACTCTCCACTTGTGTTACCCTACACTTGTGTTACTCTCCACTTGTGTTACTCTCCACTTGTGTTACTCTCCACTTGTGTTACTCTCCACTTGTGTTACCCTACACTTGTGTTACTCTCCACTTGTGTTACTCTCCACTTGTGTTACCCTACACTTGTGTTACTCTCCACTTGTGTTACTCTCCACTTGTGTTACCCTACACTTGTGTTACTCTCCACTTGTGTTACTCTCCACTTGTGTTACTCTCCACTCCATTTTCAGACTTGAAAATAAAGTAACGCCACCCCCTTCCCCCTTGTCTTCATGTGGAATGCATAAATATTTTTCTGAAACCCAATTATCTCCATTTTCCTATACATATTTCTTTTGATCTCTCTTCGCCAAGATCCATTAGCAGTTATTGTATAAGTTATGTTGCTGAACCTTTAGTGTTCTGAATCGAATCCCTTCTCTTGAGGCCGATTCAGGATTTCAGGAGGTAAGTGTGAGAGTATGGTCTCTCAAGATTCTCCCACAGCTGACTTGAATGGCTCATTGCAGTGCACAGTGCACCGATCCAGGTGTCTTCAACACCGAGTTGCCTAATTCACTAAACTATAAATGTGATAAGGACCTTAGGAGTCCCTTAAAGTGTTAAATCATTGAGGAGATTCCAACGATCAACGTGGAGCAGGACCAGGTGAGGCTAGTCTGAGAAGAGACCCTCAAGGACTCTAACTCGACCTTGCTCCCAGGCCCTGTACGGTTGCTCTCGTAGTTTCTCTGCTGATTCCGACAGCTTCGTGAAGCGTCTGCCACATGTACATTGGCGACGTACACATTGCAGTCGGGAAAGCAAAAAGAGAAAACCCCCATAGTAAGCCCGCGAACAGTCGATTGATGTATTTACCCGAGGGCAGCCATCTCTCTAGAGCAGGGGTGGGCAACCCTTCTGAGAGTGCGCGCCAAAATCAGCCAAGTCTCTGACACAAACTTTTTCCACGTGCCAACCATTTTTTTTAGAACATATTTGGTATTTCTTAAGAACTTTTTAAACGAAAAAATAATAAATTATCTCAGTGCAGTAAAACATAGTATAAAAAAAAAAAAAAAAAAATTATTTAACCTTCAGAAGTACATTTCAACAGCCTTTAAGCTTTTGTGACTTTAATAGAATACAACAGATAAAAAACTTGTTGACTCCTTTTATATACTGTCAGTGAGACTTCTGCTGCTGCATAACTGATGACAGAGATTTTACATCGGGTTTATATTTAGTAACATTGAGAGATATGCATGCAGCGCTAGTTTCATCTGTCATGCTACTCCTGTTACGAGACTTAACAAAGTTCATAATTGAGAACAAAGATTCGCAAGCATATGTAGACGAAAACATGGTTAGCAATGCAGTTGCAAGGTTTTTTAAACAGACATAATTTTCTGGAATAGTATTCCAAGTCCTTAATACTTCGTTTTCCGCATTTCTCTTTGTTACTTTCATCTCTAATCTCTCTCTTTCAATATTTTCCAAGTCAACTCTAAGGTCAACAAATTTCTGCTTCCAAATTGAGTTACTCTGAAATTCAATCAACTGCATCTCAAAATCATCCATGTCTATCCATGAAAACATTTGCAAGTTTAGTTCATCCATTTTGATGCTGTCTGGAAACTTGATGAACTTTACTGTGTCTTCCAGTTCTCTGAATTTGGCAAATCTTGTAGAGAACTGCCAAACTGTTGACTCGATAATGTTTACAAACAGCTTTTGAAGACATTTGTGGTCTGTTCTGTCATCTTTTAGATCACTGATGTACCTCTTTAGGTTTGGAAAGTATCTAAATCTCTCATTATCTACATCCCTCTTAAAAACTTTAAGCTTCATTTCAAAAGCTTTTATGTAACCAAACATAACATCAAGTGTCTTACCAGCGCCCTGTAACTTAATATTCAATTCATTTAAATGTTCACAAAAATCTGCAAAAAAACATCAGTTTACAAACCCACACGACGTCAGAAAATTGATGGTATGACACTTGTTGGTCGTTCAAATAGAGCTTTATCTCATCTAAGCCTTCAATAAATCATTTCAGAACCAAGCCTCTGCTAAGCCAACGAACATGGTTGTACATTTTCAGTCCTTTATACACAGATTCTACCTCATCCAGTAGAGTTTGAAATTGTCTTTTATTTAAAGGCCGACCACAAATGAAATTAACAACCTTGGTAACTGTTTGCATCTCTTCTTGCAGTTCCTTTAGGCCAGCTTTTGCACATAAAGCCTCCTCATGTATGATGCAATGGAAGCCAATCAGTGGATGACCAACATTTTTTGCAAACAGATTTACAACTCCTGCCTTCTCACCAGTCATGTTTGGGGCACCATCTGTTGTGACGGATACTACTTTTGAAATGTCAATTTGCCGAGTAGAGAATTCGTTCACAACTGTTTTACATATTTCAGCCCCGGTAGTACGCTCAGGTAGTGATGCAAGAGCAACCATCTCTTCCATAAGACTATTCTTACAATGATATTGAGTTTCACAAAGTTATTGATTTATAAGGGGAATAATTTTCACCTGGAGATGAAGTACTTACCTTCTCGGGGAGGAGGCAAGTGAGCAACTGTGAGAAACACTACGAAGCAAGACTGCGACTGCGAGAAAGAGTTATGAGTCTGAGATAGTCTGAACATGTGTTCATTACGGGGACTTCATGGGGGTGGGGGACTGTTGATTGCACTGGTTATATTACGGCCGTCAATGGAGAGAAGGGGAGAGCATAAGAATTCTTATCTTTCTTTAGCTTTCGAAGGTGAAGATGCTTTAGATTTAGATAGTAAAGTGAGTTTAATTAATATGCGTCAAACTGAAGTCGGGCGGCATTCAAACACATGAGGTTTAGGAGGGGGGGGGGAGATGTTGTGGGGGTTTAAATTCAAAGTTTACGAATTTAATTTTTAAAGGTGGGCAGGCATGGCGTATTTTGCCTTCACAGATATGATTGTCAGTGTACACTATGGTTATGGGTGCAGCCTTGAGGTTAGAAAGGCTTATTACATAAAATATGAGCCAAAGTAAATAGAGGGGAATCATCATACATTGGCATGATCGATGACGTAAAAAAAGAAGGTAACTATGGCAACAAGATCAACTTCTTTTTCTTGAGACTTCTTTAGCTTCGTAGAGCTTAAACCTCTTCACCACCAGGACGTACATATACTGTCATGGCATGTAAGCTTATACCCCAAGGAAAGTAGTTTTTTTTTTGTCTGTGCTTAGGGTAACATGTGCTTGCATCTGTGCTTAGGGTAACATGTGCTTGCATCTGTGCTTAGGGTAACATGTGCTTGCATCTGTGCTTAGGGTAACCTATGCTCTTGCGTGCCAGAGACAAGTCATCGGCGTGCCAAGTTTGGCACGCGTGCCAGAGGTTGCCCACCCCTGCTCTAGAGGCCTCGACGAGAACAGGAACCCGGCGGAGTGTAACAGGTTTCCCCCATTTTATCCTGATGATTTAATAAGCTAGATTTGGAATTCAGTAGCGTTTTGAAATTTACGGCTTCAGTGGTAGGCGGTTCCATGGGTTTATAACCCATGGGTTAACCCTGTGGTTGAACAGCATCTATTTTCTGTCCTGCATTATGGCTTGTTGAGCTTGAAACCGTTGTACCTTGTTTGTGTTACATCAGACCTTTTAAAGAAGTTGTCCGTATCAGTATTCTCAAAATTGTTCAGTATATTAAAAATGTTGATGAGATCAGCCCTGTCATGTCTGGTTTGCAGTGTTGTTAGCCCTGAGGCCCTCAACCGTTCCTGGTACGAGGGTCGACTTAGTTAAAGAATAATTTTTGTCGCCTGGTGTTGAATTTTCTCCAGTGCAGATATGTCTTTCTGAACATGAAATCTCCATGCTTGGATTCGTTAATCCGAGTTATGGAGTTGTATAACTACGTTTCCTTGAAGTCAAAGTTTCGTTTGACTATTCTGAGGATGGCTTCTATTTGTGTGCCTATTAATACACATGACTGAGCACCTGTTGCCACAACCATCCTTATACATATGGAAATATATTTGCTTCGTATAATAATACCTGCCTGGACACCTGCTTTCATAGTCACCGACCAGCCTGAACACCTGTTACCTATACCAAGCCCCTATAACTTGTACGACAGCTGTTTCTTCCCTCACATATTGTCATTTTCCGCCAGTACAATTGTTCAGTATTCTTCCTGTAACGCAAATGATAAATGTATTTATTTAACAGAACCATTAATGTAATGCGAGAAGTTGGAGGGTTATGACTACCGTGGCCACATATAGAGACCACTACGGAGGTTTCGACAAAGCCTAGCTCCTTTCTGGATCAACATGTGACGTCCCATCGTATGAGGCTAGACGGGCCAATCTGATGACAGGCCTACGCGAGTGCCTCTCTGTCAATGGCTTGCTTGAAAGTAGTTCGTTGGAACTATTGAAGCCAGCTAGAGCTATGAAATGCTGTTTTGTTTTCATTGTTAGCGCAGCCTTGTCTTAAGACGGTATAGCCTCGTCACTCCGGGCTAGTGCAGAATGATGAGCTTCTTCGGAAAAGGCTCCTCAAGTTAAGGTTTAGCAATAGCCATTTAATCACTAGCTAATATTACAATGATATCGGGATCACTCGTATCATCGAGATAGTATGATACCGGGATATCATCTGGGGGGAAAGCGAGGACGTTATGTGAAAAAGAAGTGAGTTAAACGTATTAACTACATTATTCAAGAAGGAGGAGGGGGTGGGGGGTGGAGGCAGTGAGCAATTGTAGGACTGATTATTAATAGTGTTGAGCACACATCTGGGATAGTTTATGTGCTCGTAAATATATATGTTTCCGTGACTCGTTTCTTGGGGGCGCCAATCGCCATTTTTTTGTCATCCAGCGCCACCTTCCATCATCTCAGCATCTGTCATTATCTACCACTATCATTCCATCCTGCAAATTCCCTCTGCATGTTATATTAACACAGTGCGGTAGTCAAGGCTTGTACTGCAGTGTTCAGCCACCTGCAATAATAACAATTATATATATGTTGTACCTAGTAGCCAGAACGTCGTACTCTGTCTACTTTGCAAGGCCAGATTTGCCTAATAAGCCAAGTTTTCCAGAATTTATATATTTTTCAATTTTTTTTCATATGAAATGATAAATCTGTCCATTTCATTATGTATAAGTTAATTTGTTTAAATTTGAGGTGAAACTAACGTAGATATATGACCGAACCTAACCAACCCTACCTAACCTAAACTAACCTAAACTAACACAACTAAGTCAATAATCTATGTTCCTAATATAATATAATAATACTAATTCAAATAAACTAATTGGAAACAATTTATCGAAAATAAAGAAAATCACTCGACTTATTAGGCAAATCGGGCCTGGCCAAGAAGTGGCCTTGTGGATTCTCACTGGACACGTAAATATTTTCTTCTACCACCCCCATTATTTTGTATATATACATGTATATTTGTTTTATTTAAACTTTGTTACAAAAAAAGGAGTTACATATGTGGTACAAAGATGATTATCATAAGTTGTCAAGTTCCTCCAGCTCCTCAAATGGCGGGCAGGAATCCTGAATGCAGTGCGCATTTCCCCTCTGTATCGCCACGCAAAGGCGCTGGAAAAGAAAGCTGGCAGCTTCAGGGTCTCTTGTTGTTTCAATTAGCCTAGAACCTAGTTCCTTCAAAAAACTAGTGGCACTCTTACTTCAGGAGCCGAGTGTCTCAGAAGCAATGGGGATAAAATTGTAGTGGTGATCCAGTTCTCTATACTTACGGGATTTGGCTGATTCCCTGTGAGTGGCAGCACCACCTGGTTGTGCAACACTGAATTCAATGTAGGTGTTAGCGAGGGTTGATACGCACGTGTAGTTCCATACCAACTGCTTGCCATTCTTCCAGGGGTTCACTGTGATACCATCCGGGCCACCAATAAGAGCATCAGAGTTACGGGAAGTTAGGTAATGGGGGTCTCTTTCAGCTGGGCATCCAGCTGTGATGAGACTCCTATTGATGATGTCGTTAACTTCACTGTACCTCGAATGCCATCCCCCTGTGCTTTGGCAGAGTAGGCCATGGTGGCCGTACCTGTCGGCCACCACTTCGTTGAAAATACACCTATATTTAGTGTGGATTGGGGGTAGCAAGGCAGAGGGCCACAGCAATTCGGAGTGCGTGTGATGAGAGACGAGTGCCAGTTGCCGACATTGGGGTTGCTAACAGAAAATCCCCTGCATGTGGGGCTGCTACTGCTGTGAGGCGAGCAATGTCGTGTTGTGCTGTTGCAGCACCCAGGCACTCTGCAGGAACTTGGTCTACAATGGGGCCATCCCAGCTGGATTGCTTGTGGGCTTTTGAGGATGGTGGTGATGAGCCTGCACGAGAGGCCCACTCGGTGGCACAGCGTATAAAATTGTGATCGTTTACACCTGCCAGCTGATGTAAGTAGGCAGGTAGAATTTCCTTCACAAGGTCGTTGGATGCCGAGGGGCAGGACAGGAAGGCTGGAATAGCGATTTGCGTTGCTGTTCGAACTCCGAGGCCCCCAAGTCTTACGGGAAGAGAGGCTTGTTTCCACTGTAGGTCATCGAGAGAGAGGTTGAGGGCTTTTTCTATCATTGATTTCAGTAACAGGTCATACTTTCCTAGTTTTTGGCTACTGTAGGACGGTGAACACCTCAGAAAGTAGGTTAACCTGGGGAGGGACAGACATCTGGTGATGAGATAAAGTGCGTCATGGGCATCAATATCCTCAATCCTCCCGTTCATTCTCTTAAAGTCGGCGATTTTCTTATCAAGGACCTCATTGATGGCTTTCAACCCCAAGGGGGGTCTCCTAGGAGTCTGCTGTCTTCAGGTTTAGTTATATGAATATTTTGCAGAACACCCTCTACTCTCTCTATGATGCCCTGGATGGACATATTATTTCACACTTAGAAGGGTTCAGGGTGAGGCCTAAAATTATATATATATATATATATATATATATATATATATATATATATATATATATATATATATATATATATATATATATATATTTATATATATATATACATATATCATATATATATATGAGACACATACAATATAAGGCTGCACTGCCACTGACAGGACAGGTATGGGGTGCACTACCACTGACAGGATGGGTATGGGGTGCACTACCACTGACAGGATGGGTATGGGGTGCACTACCACTGACAGGATGGGTATGGGGTGCACTACCACTGACAGGACGGGTATGGGGTGCACTACCACTGACAGGATGGGTATGGGGGGTGTACTACCACTCACAGGATGGGTATGGGGTGCACTACCACTGACAGGATGGGTATGGGGTGCACTACCACTGACAGGATGGGTATGGGGTGCACTACCACTGACAGGATGGGTATGGGGTGCACTACCACTGACAGGATGGGTATGGGGTGCACTACCACTGACAGGATGGGTATGGGGGGTGTACTACCACTCACAGGATGGGTATGGGGTGCACTACCACTGACAGGATGGGTATGGGGTGCACTACCACTCACAGGATGGGTATGGGGTGCACTACCACTGACAGGATGGGTATGG